AACAAACTCGGACCTTTGATACCTTTATTGATTTAGAAGGAAAACCTGTATTCTGCGTCGGTTCATTATAGTCCTATAAGTCGTCAAATTGTCAAATGTCCTTTTCTTTATTGTGTTAACTTTGTATTTAGTATGATTGTACCTTTCTATTTTTTTTATTATCTTTTATTTTAGTTTTAAGTCACTTCTATAATTTTAATTTTGTTAAGTACATATGTACGATTGGGTACAATCCGCTTATATGATGAATATATAAATAAATTAATTAATTTATTCATGAAACAGATGAATAGAAAAATGTACGTCTTGATGATGGTAACACAATCGTATTTTGTTTCTTATGGGATCCATTTGAGAATACATATCCCTTAAGGGTTCCCATTGCAAACCGCATATCTTTTTCCGATCTTGAGTTATTTACCTACGAAATGTGATAGTTGGGCTGAAACCCAGTATAATGTTCACTATTTTAAGATATAAATAAGATACCTTCATTGTAATTTTGTTATAGACGAATTTCAGGAAATACATTTTCTGTTTTCTGCGGTCTCTCCCGTATATCTAGGTTTCTACATGAAGATTGTATTTTATTATATAATATAAACAAAATATTGGCTTTTTATGTTGGTCCACTCACAGAAGGCAAAGTCCATACTTCTTAAGTGGGACCACGAGCGGAAGAAATTGAGAAAGTGACAATTAACCCTCGGTTTGACCACGTTAAAGGGGGTGTGCGCCAAAAATTAAAGTTTTAGTGTAAAAAAATCTAAGAATAACGGTTCAAACCTCGTTATTCTACGATAAACCATCGCTGAGATATACCGCTTTAAAGTGTGTGTGACATCACGAGAGCTTCGTCCAGCCGCGCTCCGCATTGTTAATTTGATTGTTCCCGGCACGCGTGAGTGGTTTTTGTTTAGAATATTGCAGGTGACACAGGAAAAACATATGTAAATTCAATTTACTTCACTTTCTCGTGCGTCGCTTGAGCTTTCGTGACGTCATAGGGTGAGATTCGGTACCTTCATAGAGCCATATCTTCGGTATTATTTGTCATAGAGGGGTGCGGTTTTCACTGTTATTCTTAGATTTTTTTTCTCTTTTTTTTGAGATGAAGTTGTTTCTTTGGCGCACACCCCCTTTAAGTTTAAATCGTTCAGGAAATAAAGTATGAGGCAGGGAGTTCGCCACTAAAAGGAAGCTCAATATTTACAAGTGCTCGAAGTAGCCAACTTTACCACATACGGATGGGATGCTTGTGAGGTTCCTGTAGTTCTTTGATAACTTCTCTTTGCTAGAATGATGCTGGCCAGATCGTCAGAACATCTCTCATGGTAATAGCGATAGAATACCGACAAGTCGGCCACCTTGCGTCTATGTTCGAAAAATTGCAATGAATCGGGGAAAGTTAGATTATCAATATTTCTTTATTGCTCTTCTTTGTACTGCATTTGAAAGCATTCGTTGGCCCGAATGCTTCGAACTCTCGGGAGCATCGCTCGAGATGTGGGAACAGTATTCCATAAATGATCTGATTTAAGCCTTATGAAGGAGAAGAAGTTATTCAGATGTAAAGAAGTTTTTTGGCCGAAACAAAAAAACCTTATTTTTGAGAAGCGGTTTTGGACCATGGTCATGCCAAGTTGGTCGATGCGGTCACCCCAAGAAGAAATTCTGAGGGGATTGACAGAAAGGTTTTGTCCCGACATCCTTATTAAAACTGAATTTGATGATAACCCATAGTTCCATCGTAATATTTCTGGTACTGTTGCTTGAGGATATTCAAGGTACTGTTGCTGGAGTTTTGGAAGTATTGAATTTCACTGGGTTGTTAAGGCCCCAGTTGGTAATGTTGTCAAGATCACTGTTGATAAAGTGAATCTGTTGCAGAAGAATGTTCCTAATAGTTTCAGGTCTAAATACAACGTTGTCCATGTAAGAACCAATAAAAGGCAGTACCTGCAAATTGCTTGGCGAAGAGATCTGCTTTTCCCTTTGACGATACCACAATAGAATTATTGTCCTTGGCAAAGGACTAAAAAGACCTTGATCCAGTCCAAAAGTCGATCACGCAATTGTTGGTTCTGTAACTCCGTAGGCTCGTTGGTTATAAGGTTGCAATCATTTCTGGCAGGTGAAAAAGACGTTTGAGTTTCTTCGCACTGGTTTCTAAGCCGCGCACGATATGCGGTGTTATTTTTGCAACTGGTCGGACACACTGCTTGTTGAACCAGAGTTTTCCGGCACGGGATGTTTTGAATGGAGTGTGGAAACTTTTGGATTTAAAAAAACAATGGACATCGAAAAGGTCGAGAGAAAGAATTTTAAGCCTATCCAGTCTGCAGCTCCTTAATGCCGTACTCTACGAGGTATTGAAGCATGGGCTGAGAATATAACCAACGAACTTCCAGCGTGAAACAAAGGTGCAAACACATCGATCTTGTGAGGATTGGGATTAAGCGTAGGGAACAAATCGAGTTAGTTGGCCTGTTGGACCAGGTTTTTTCGCAATCGGAAATTGATAGCTTGACGACACATTCATTTTTCTGCCACTTTCGTTGTTATATTCATCGCGAGTTTATGCCATCTTTTCCTCCAGTTTCCTATATATTTCATCTAGAACTCTTCGCAAATCGTACCTATTTCGTTTTCCAGTCCTTGTCGAACTGTTTGTTTTTCGCCTTTGACTACTTGCCGAATGTTTTGAAATGTCAATATCTTTCTGTCATTGTTTTCGTTTTTGTATAATTTTCTGGAGCCGGTCCGGTTCCTTTTGTCTTTCTTTTTGTCATAGATTTCCTGTCTGTCTTCTTCTTCCTATCCGGCAGTCGTTCCACCATATTCAAACATTTCTTCACTTACTTATGTCACTTCTGACACCAATAGGGAACTTGACAAAAAATTTAAAAAGGAAAATATTACTATGAATCATAAGAATATATTATATTAAAACATATATCAGCGAAAAAAAAAAAAAATTGTCGCGAACGGCCGGAATAGGGAATTAGAAATGCAGAAAAATTCAAATTATTTCCAGCGGCAAAGAACGCGCTGCTATTGGTCGTGACGTCATCTAGTATGATCTGTCAATAGGTCTGTTTCCACAGAAATCCCAAACCAGTCAGAGCATTTTTGATTGGTCCAAATCGCCAACAACCAGTTCCCTGACTATTTCCAACCAATGAAATTCGCTCTGACTAGTTTGTGATTTCTGTGGAAACAGACCTACACAGTCTGTCACCAACCGTCCATTATAAATACTCGTTCGCTGTGTTTATTCGCGTTTTTCTCTAATTTTTTCAAATTTTATTTGATGATTAGCATAGCATTATATAATTAAAACGATATAACTACTAATTATGACCGAAGAACGATATTCCAAAGGCCAATCCGATATAAGTCATTTGTTGATATGTGTCCCCTCGTTTCTATTCTATTCGGTGACTTCACCGATGAGTTATCTTTGTTTAGTGAATGGAAAATGACAATGACCGACATAGAATGGTGGATCTATCGCTAAGATTGGATGAGAATATGGTAGCAAAAGTAAGTATGTGCGAGTCTTTTCTTCCATTATAACTTCAAATTATACGACTCGCCGCAACACATAACAACAACAAAACTAATAAACGGTGGAAATTGGAAATCAACCGAATCAAATGCAATGAAGTATGACGTTTGGCGACGAAGTGACGCAAAATCATACTACGTGACGTCATCCAGATTCGCGCGGTTTTAAGGTCGTTCAAAATGATTTTAAAACGCGCGAAACTTTAAACATTTTTCACCAAGTTATTATTGATTTTAAGGGAATAATATTTGGGGAATACTCTTTAAAGTTCCCTATTGTTGCATAAACAAATTCGTCAGTAAGTGAAACAACTTTTCCAAACTTGAATAAATTTCAATCAAGACTATAACACTATAAATCAAGTCAAAACAAAGACTGCTTCAACACACAAAACTACTCGAATTGAACTTATTTGTTTGCTGAACTATCTAACTATAACTGATCGCTGTACCTTCCCAATCAAAACACTTAAAACTACGTCGCGGGTCGCTAATATATCGTTTCGAGCTTTGTCAGTAACACCGATCGATAAATCACCGACTTTATTACAGGGGTCGATGATACGAATTTGCTATGCCTGGTAGTTTTTAAAAGTATGTCTTCTAAATTTCATGTTTAACTCCTGATAATATTTTTTTTGGGAAAGGTTGAAAAATAGACGGAAGCTATTAAATATTTCCAAGGTCTAACCAACAGGCCAACAAAATAACACAGAGGTAAAATCTGCCGATTTCTCCATAAAACCAAAGTAGTAAAATAGAAGACTATGGATATTAATTCATAAGCATATAAGCCAGGGCATGGAATTTAGCTATATATCTGCATATACACCATATTAGATAATGCTATATATAGCAGGATTTGCAGCGTTTATTTTGCCCAAAAGTTGGTTCCGCATGTCCAATGATATTTAATGTTTTATTAATTTTCTGGGGCTCCTAGTTACGGAACAATAAACGGATAAAATAGTGCGATGAATAATGAATTTTACGCTTTAAAGCTAATTTTTTATGGCAACGAGCCATCCCATAAACACTCACTGGATTTTATAGAAAATTTATTACATGTTGACCGCACAGAAGCAAAGTTTACATTTCCTAGAGTTGAAATTATTATTAAAATAATTCAGCTAGAATAAAAATTATAATAGAAACCTAAAAACAAATCAAATAAAACAAAATAATGAATGGACCAAATTGGCTGCCTACGTTATGGTTAGTTTCATATATTTTATTATTCTGGTAAATGATATTTTCGCATATTTTATTATCAAACAATATAATTGGTGGATTTTGTTATTGAGCGTATTGTCTATGTTTCAAAAAACGAATTTTTATCTCATCTATGTAAGCTTAATACAAATTTAGATGACATATTGTTACATACAAACAAATATTACTGGATCATGTAACCATTAACCCGTATTTAGGCCAGAACGGAATCCGATAGATTAGAGTTGTCCCAGAATTCAGTTATTTGATCATTTCGACCGAAATCTGCTATACCAGCGGTTTTGATGGTGCATTGTAGTTTGGTTGAGGATAGTTTTCCCAGTCTAGAAACTCGTGGCAAACCAACGATAGAAATCGCGCATGTAACATTTGCCAGACAGTTATAACTGTATTCCTTTTACCCGTTGAGTTACTCGGAGCTGCACAATGTCAAACGCTTGAACGTTCCTTTTAAAAGTGCGTTAAGCACTCGAGTCGCTCATAGTGCATCCCCCTTTCCCCTGATGCACCAAATTTGCGGGGGTGCAAAAAGCCCTTTTAGGTAATGATGGTAATGTTAATATTAAAAAATAATGAAAAAATCTGAATTGTGTGTTTTGGAGTGACTCCGAGGAGCTCGTTTGGTGTAACTCGATGTATAAAGGAATACAGTATTTCGGAGAGGGCTCAAATTTTGACAGCTTTAATGAAGGTGCAAGCAACAAAAATCCTGGCGATAGTGGTAGAACTGATGGCAGAATCCATATTGCTCTTGCAGTTTTCAACACTCAAACAGCATAAAACATTGAACACAGTAATTCAACTGTTTTTAAATTGGTCTCCCAACGAATTTCTTATAGCTAATTGAAGATTTGCAGGTTGGAAGTGTGGTTGGTCCGCTATACTACTTTGGAAGTTCCACTAAACAAAACAATGATTTATTTTAAAAATATGCGCAACACTAGATTTTTGTATTTGCGTTAGAAACTTTGTAATGAAAAAACATCAATTGACATTCAAGTAACCTAACTCTGTCCAGTCCAGAGATCCGTGTTTGACTTATGATAGATGTTTTTTAATGGTTCTCTAAATGAATAGAGCACCAAAAGCACATTCACTTTCGCGCCTAAAACACTATAGACTCTAGTGTTAACATTGTGTTTTATGTAATCAGCGTTTTACAAGCGCCGATTAAAGATTCCTCTGGGTGCTACTGATTTTGTTATTTGTTTCGCGGAACCACAAGAATTTCGTGACGATATATAGATCAAAATTATAGGTAATTTGGTAGTTTAGGATGAAAAAAAAACTCAAACAATAGTAATTATTTTAAAACCGTACAAATTAATGTGTATTCACGATGCACCTTGCACTTAACCACTATAATGCGAAGCGGAGAGGATATGAAAAAAATTAATGCTCGGGAAAAACTGTTAGGCATCTGATATTTAAATTATTTATGGTGCGCTCGTACCTACTTAATAGCGGAACCGCGTAGGTACCTAATGTATTGGGCCGTGATTTGACTCGGACCATAACATAAATAATAAATGCCATTTATCTTCAAGCGGCATAGAAATTGAGTTTTATTGTTGTCAAAATTTGACACAGAAGTGATTGATTGTGGCCTAGGATCATAAAAATTATTATGTTCATGTTCAGGGACGGATGGGACAGGCGGGAGACCGGAAAATTTCCCGGTGGGCCGGTTGGTGACGAAAAGTAACTATAGTCTGTTTTTTAATGACTGGGTACGATAAATCAAACTCACCAAATTTTAATCCCTTAAACCCCTTACAGAGTGATCCAACACTTTCATTATCCTCATTCGTCTACACATACCCAATTTTTACAAACTGTTTCAAGAAAACCCACCCGAAACTCTTTTCAGCCGAAATTCCCTCGCCAAACAATGGGTTTTCGGGTTTAAAGAGGCGTATATTTGTAAATTTTATGACCCATAGGCGCAGGTAAGAGATTTTTGGAAAACAGAATATTTAAAAAAAAATCTATTTTATTTTCAATTTAAAGAAGGTACTTACATAATTATACAAACAATTTAAACCAATACTTATAATACAAACCAATACTTACAATACAAACAAATTAAATTGGAACAAACCTAATAAGAATAATAATTTTTAGGGTCTTCAAAAAAAAACACCAATCAAAGATTGCTATGATTTTTTAAGCGTACTTATGTTACTCTGCTTATGTCTTAGCTGTTTTCTATCAACTGACAAATAAAGGGACAATAAATGTCAATACAAAAATTTTGACATAATTTCTGTCCCAATTACATTATTTATGGAAATAGACGTTCAATGCGCGACATACGTTTTCGTGAGCATTCTATGATTTTTTTTTTTGAAGACCCTAATTCTTGGAACTTTTTTTTTCAATTAATCTTCTGATGAAGAACTGTCATCATTCAAATTTATAATCAAAGGTTCAACTGTTGCCTCAATTAAATTGTCCAGTTTCCAAAACCTTTCCTCTACGCCAAGAACATGCTTAATACACTTCCGCCACTTATCAGCACTTACTTCTTGAATTGCCTCGTGAAACAATTTTTCCACATCTTTTATTTTAAAAGTTGTGTTTCCTCTTGCAACATATCCCTTGACTTGTGCCCAAATTAACTCGATGGGATTCAGTTCGCAATGGTGAGGGGGTAACCTAAGAACAATTTTTCCCTGTTTTTTTGCCATTTCATCTACGATACAATTGGAATATCTGGACCTGTATGGCTTTACTATTGCAAGCAATTCTTTCTTTACCATATTTTGTTCGAAGGGTATATTTTTTTCCAATAGCCAATTTTGTATTTTTACTTTGCTCCAGGACGTGATTGGAGTTTTTTCTTCTTTTCTGGAGTGGTAGCTGGCATTATCCATTACTATAACTGAGCCTTCGGGAATAAGTTCTATCATCTGCTCAAAATATTCTTCAAACACATCGGCATTCATGTCCTCATGATAATCTCCAGTACGGTTTGATATAAAGGGTGGCAGCAATCCGCCTTCTAAAAACCCATTCTCATTGCCAATATGAGTGATGATTAGTCTTTTTCCCTTTCCTGTTGGTGGAGTTATACCAGTTGACCATCCTTCCAAAAAAGCTTGACGAGAACTTTTAACGTTTTTATCTTGCCACATTTTTTTAACAGTATACCCTTGATTTATCCATGTTTCGTCAAGGTAAAAAATTTGCCTATTTTCTTCACGGTACCTTTTAATTTTTCTCAAGTAGTCCCTTCTCCAAAATACTACTTCGTCCTTCTCAATCAATATAGAATTTCTTGTGTGTCCGTGTGTTTCAAAATTAAAACCCAACTCTTTCAAAGTATTCCAGAGCTTGCTCCTACTTAGATTTGGTATGTCGTCATCATGTTTTATGACTGCCAGAATTTTGTCCAAGGTCGGTATTTCTTTTCTAAAATAGAATGAATGGACTTTTCTTCGAAGTCCATTCAAGATGTCTTCATCAAGGTTAATTTTTCTTCTGCCCGATGGTTTTAAGGGTTCTCTGTAATACAAGAAAGTTGCTTGAGAAATTCGGCAAGCACGTACTTAATGCAGAAAATAAGTAGTTAAATATCATTTTTTACCTTAAAGCTTTTGTTTTCCGCTCTTTAAGAATTCTGTAAATCGTGTTTTTTTCATATCCTGTTTCATTTTGGCACATACGGACTACACTAGCTTCCGAACTTTGCAAATGTCTTAACTTCAGGCTATCAAATACATTCAGTAGTGTGATTTTCTCATTATAACTCAAAGGTTTCCGTTTTCTTATAACCGGAAAAGAGGAAGAGCTCGTTGAAGGATTCATTTATCACTTAATATGAAAGCCGAAACCGCACTGTTCACTGTTCAATGTTTAGGACTTAACTGCTAAATTGCTGCTTCAAGAAAACTAATGCTAAATTGCTAAAACTATTCCAAATAAACCCATATTATACAGTACCTACATTTTTAAGAAGAAACATTATGATAATTTATCTAATTCTGAGTACTCTAACTAATGTCTTGCTCAGGTAAAATAATGATTCTATAATAATAGTTACGGTTTATATTCACAAATTTACTTGGCAGTAAACCTCCAATTTTCATTTTTTTTTTACCTGTTTAAAATTGATGTGAAAACATATAAAAATCGTACCTACCTGTCTTTGAGAAATTTATTTGGAAAATTATTTTCTTATATAGGCACGCCAATGAACTACCTATACTAAATGCATTCTGACACTTTTATGTGTACCCTCTGATTAAAAAACATACTATAGGTACTGATAAAATTGGTGAAAATATGTTATTCATATTACAAGTCAGTTATCTCTTCAGGAAACGTTTGCTAGAACCGACAATTCCACACTTAAGCCAGGTTGACACGGTCCAAGTGCACTTGGATGAGAATTTGGACCAAGTAAGTTGACAGCCAGCCTACTTACTTGGATGACCTATTCAACTTGACTTGGATAAACAGTTAGTAGGTACGATCCAAGTATCGTTAAAGTAAGGCGCGCGCAGCGTCCATGGGAACTTGATCCAAGTACACTTGGACCGTGTCAACTGCCTATAGTGAAACGTGAAAGTGAAGATGTGGATGATAAACACAATGCGCAAAGAGATTTCAAGGATACAACAAAAACTTGCTCCTGCAAGGTGCGTGTATTGCTGTAACGTCGCTAATAAGAAATATATAACCCGTATTCTCGAATCCAGGGAACAGATGAGTTCTCAAGAGAACGATTGCTCTGTCTTTGTCAGTGATATGGAAATAACAATAGGGGCGACTAAGACAGAGCAATCGTTCTCTTGAGAACTCCAGGGTTACGAGAATACGGGCCGTGACATGTGAAAGATGATCAATTCAAATATTTTGAGAATAGGCTAAGAAATCGGTGACGAGAGCAGAGAGCAGGCTTGAATATCCCATGCTTATGAATATAGAAAGATCCCTACTTAACCAAATAGATGACGAAGATATTATAAATGAAAACAGACCGACTCCAGACTCCAGTACATCATTTTAAAAAAGCTTGATGTAATAAATATAATGTTTTTATTTCAAAATTCCTATAAAACATTTAACAATTTTCAACAAAACATGGAATTCCTGTTCTGTTGAAAGTTGTTAAATGTGTCTAGTTTTTATATACCTATATTTGTTTCTGGCTGAAAACTCATCTGAAGTTTAAGACTCAGCCTAATTTACTATGAAAGAAATTCAAAGCTATACTTATAACTTAAGATAAGTTTAGGGCGGT